CGGCTAGCGCTTCGCAGATACTGAGGGCCAAAACGCGTTCCAACACTTGACCTTGCATGCTAACCGGCGATTAAGCTACCTCCGCTAATAGCCTTTCATTACAGGCGGCACACATGCAAGCGCGCACGTTACCAAAGCCATTTCAGACTCCTGATAGCAGCCGCTGAACAGTTGGAGTCATAAGCCACTAATAATCCTAAGCCCGTCGCACTAGTCACGCACCTGCCCTGTGTTCACACACCCTCTTAGCCTCCGGAGTCACGCAAGGCTCGGCTCTGCCCCGCTCCCATTCATACTTTTACCATTTCATCAGCTCTTGTTTTTCAAGCTTGAGGGAGGACTTGGAATGAGTGACCCGAGGTCAGGATCTCTCCAGTTTGATGGGACGCATCCTCTGCTAACCCGAAGCAGGGGGCTCCCCAGCCACAGTTTTGCCACTTCCAAACTGCGGGGTCACAAATTCTCTGCTTCAGCTCTGCACAAACTCCCCAAACTGGAAGGGTGAAAAGGCCGTTCTGTGCTCTGCATCTACCCGATGTAGTACGACTGTGCCGACCTCTTCTCTGTAACCATTTACATCCTTCCCTCAAACACCAGCTCCAGTAAACACACACGGATCATCAGCCAGATGCAACTCAGTGCCCAGTGGGTTAATGCAAAGGGGCTGCTCGGAGGCAGCAGAGGAATGAGATGAACTTGCATGTAGCATGCCACACTTTGTCCTAACTGCTCCCTCGCGGGAGCAGGCTTAAATGCCAGGAGAACTTCCCTTCTTCACACTCACGCAAGGTCCAACCAGTCAGACTGGCTTATCAAAACCAGGCCGAGGGAGTTAAACAAACTCTGGCAGAGAGCAATCACGGAGGCGACGTGTAAACCCACAAACAATAACACTACTGCAACAAAACTGAACTCCTGCCAACGTTAATTATGTTTGGGTTGGACAGTGCATCTTTATTGTTCGGTAATGAAGGTAATAAAATAAATTAGCTCAGGCCTTTTAATATTAGATAAATGTATTTTACAGCTGCCTGGAAAAAAAAAAAAGGGCAGATAGAGACTAAACAGTTTTGTGACACGCAGAGTACTGCTGAAGCCTGATTAAACATGAAGTATTCTCCGTTTATGAGACACACTCTGTCCTGGGCACTACCACTGAACAAGCTCGCTCGCCGAGCTTCATTCACTGTGCAACGTTACCTGCACGCTGGTTGGAATAAAACACCCCACGCCAGCAGAAGGACTGAGCTAACACTCCAGAAGTTAACAAAACAAGAGTTTTTCCCCCCAGACAAGCCCAGAGCAACATCACGGTCACAAGTCCAAACACCTCCCATGCTTTCATCTGGGGGAGGGAGAAGGGTTACTGCTAGAGTAGCTCAGTGTGTAAACCCCATCTTTCCTCTCGACTATTTTAGCAGCTCTCTAGCTGCTAAAACAAATAGCTTCAGGAACGGAACTAAACTTAGGATCTCCTAAAAGCTGTAGAGAAAGCCACTAACTCTTTCCTTCAGCAATAAATACCTGCACGTTCCAGAGGCACACAGCTCACGGTGTAAGCTGCAGTTAGGTGAGTGGGTGTAACTCTCCAGGTTAGCTGCATGGGACATCACTTGCCATCTTTTGCTGGTTTTAAAGCTGGAGCCACCTGCCTGCAGACTCAGCAAAACAGTCATTGCCCCACAAACATGAAGGATTTTCTCCTCAACCTCAAGGGCTAGGGTTTTTTAACGATCATTATTTTTAACGAAGAGAAATTCAGCGTGAGTTCTGGCTGATGCTCCGCTGTCAGCCTCTCCCAGCGTCAGTGCACAATTCACTCTGGCTGAGCAAAAACCTGCCTGATGGACAAAGCCTTCGCCCCATGACCGCTTCTTGTTTTCTCCTGCGGTTGGATAACGTGACCTTAGTTTGCACTCAGCTCGAGGTCCCAGAAACACTTCACACATTCAATATACACAATCGCTGTAAGGCAGTCATCCATAGACTGAAGAGCTAAAAGCTAGGGAGTAGAGAAGTCAGTCAAGGACACGGCACGCAAAAATCCATCCTGCCTGCATCATCCTCACAGAGCAGACTCGGCCTTAGTTTTGTAGTCCGACGCTGGCACAAAAGCTCTGCCTGCTGCACTGCTTTACTCTGAGACAGTGGGGAAGACAAGTTTCTTGAAGGACAGGTTTGAAGTCTGCTTAGGGGAAGGTTATAGGAAAATAAGTATCAACACTTAGCTTGATTTTGTGAGCACAGTCCTGCTTTCACTTGACAAATGGCTATCTCAAATTCCCATAGCAGCTGAGTTTGTCACACTCTCTTTCCAGAAGAGCCACAGGGACAGATACAGCATATTTTCTACACTGACAGCATTAACAAGAAGAGAACCTACTTCAGACAAGGCTTACTAGTACATCAGGGCAAGAAATACATACCTTACCTACGTGGCATACAGCTCTCCTCTTTACTCATCTCAGTGTCCTCATAAAGACACTTTCTTGGCAGAAACAAAGTTAAGAGGGAAGGAGAGAGGAACTGCAAAAAAAGAATGATTTGGAAGACTGGTGTGCTTGAGATTATATTACACAGTCACTGATGAACTGAGATACTCCATCCTCCTGCAGACTCCTGAGCTCCAGCACACCTGCAGAACATTGGCTTTGCAGCTACTGCTAGACCTGACCCCAAAACACCGCGCTGTTCAAACACAGACCATTTCAATGCTGATGACAGCCAACAGAAGGAACAGAGACAGACCTATGCCAACACACACTTCAGTTCTCCAGCTGGACAGCTCTGGAGGTAGAAAAAGACAGCTTGCACCTCATAAAAAGGATCAGCCTTTCCAGGAGGCAGTTTTCTGTTAAACGGTTGTACTTCCCCTTTCAAGAGCATCATGTAACAGTAAATAGAGAGACAGATCAATAGCAGCCAGCCCAAAAAAGTAAAGACTATATATTTAGGAGAGATTCATATGTGGAGCCCCAGGGATGGACTCGGCACAGTCATAATCAACAACCTGGTAAGGTCTATTAGCTTCAGGTTGTCACTTTTGTTTGAAACAGATCCCCATCTTTGTTCCCTGCTTACTTCAAAGGACACACTAATATACACACTTGACAGCCTGGCTCCATAAAACTAGCTCTTACAAAAGCATCCTGGTGGACTGCAGTGTTCACCAAGCTTTGCTGACTAAAGTAAGTTGATCCGTGTAGGATATAAGCATTAAAACCACAGACTAGAAGCCCTGCAGATTAATCTTCTGGAGAACTGGCATCAGCAGTTTGGTGGTTTTACCACTGCATGATCCTGGTTATTTCCTAGAGCCATGGAAACATGGCATAAAAGAACATGCAAGGATTCAGAGACTTCTTCCTCTCTCACAGTGGCAAGAGCTGGATATTAGCTCACTGTCAATCACAAGCATCACTTTGTTTGTACTATTAGAGCAGACAGAATAATTATTCTATCAGCCAGAGCTCTTCTAAGATAACCATCCTCAAGACTGGCCTAGGGAAAAGATTATGAAGTACTTATTTCTCCTATAACTAGGAAGTTCTTTTTGCAAGTAGAGCTCCCCTTAGGAATCCAGAGACAACTCCGTAGCGAGAATTCAGAAGCAGAAAGGGAAATCTAGCCACAGGCACATCCAAAATCATGGCTTTTGGGGCTTGGGCTCTCATTTAATTTCAGCAGCTGCTGCTCAGAGAGGCAGGCTGCCTACAGCTTAGCATCCTCCTGCTCCTTGCTAAACAAAAGAAATCAGGATTTTTTTCAAGTGACAGTCCATCACAACTCCAAGCACATTGAATATCCTTCTGTCCCTCGGAGGGCTGACTCGCTACAAAAAGCACTAGACCGAATGCCAGAAACAGCAGGCAAGTTACAACTGTTTACAAGAGCTTTTGCTAGATAGCCATTAGCATTTCCTGAGCAAAAGTAAACTTCCTCAACGGACACAAAGGAAGTCACTCGCTGTGGGAAAAACATCTAGAGAGACAGAGCACTGGGACACTTTTATCATCAGTCACAGGACTGTGAATGTGTCCAGCTCAGCAGAGGCGACAGGGAACTGTAGCTGTCAATACTCTGCCCGTTGTGTGACACGACAGCTTTTCTTCCTAACAAATCCAGAATTCCGTACGGGAGACTAATCACCCAACAGTAACTAATGAGGCTAGCGAGACCCTGCAACTACAGAGGGGAGTCGTTTGCTACCCTCCCTGGGCAGGCCTGCCAAGAACGAAAGAAGGAAACAGCAGGCCTTTCACCGGGCTGCTCCTTTCAGCACGCTCAAACGGCAGCCGAAGAATTCCAGAGTAAAGGATGGTGGAATTAGCAAAACAGGATTTCACTTTCATCCCCTGAATTTACTTACTGATGCTTGCTGCTTGTGGCACGGCAGAGTTTGCCTCCCAGGAGCTGCACTACTAGAACAGCCTACGAGCCATACTTCTCGAATTGGCAGCTAACAGAAGGTTAGCTTTTGTTTCAGACCAGACAGACATAGAGGCCCTGTCTCCTCTCAAACAAGCCAGCTGGAAGATGAATTGACAAGGAACACATTTAAAAAAAATATAAAAATTAAGTAAATCACACACAAAATGAAGAAGTGCTTATTCACACAGCACACAGGCAATCAGTGGAGCTTCTTGCCACAGGACATTGAAGATACTGAAAGCTTACATAGATTTTAAAAGAAATGGGTTAAATTCAGCAGAAGAAAAAAAAAATCATAAATAGCTATTAATACTAAACTACCACTTCTGCTTCAGGAAGTGTTAAAACTGCAAGACAAAGCATTAGGGAAAGTCTTACTTCATGTTTACTCTGTTCTTTCACTTTTCATTAAGTATCCTTGGAAACAAAATACTGAGCTGGACAAGTTCTGGAATGAGCCAGTACGTTTTCATCTCGTTTGAGAGCAGACCGGATCAATAGGATGATGGATGACAAATGGAAAGATATCACTGTATAGCAGGAACCATTTAAACACCTTTATTTTAATGAAAAAGCAGCAAATCGTTGCAAACAAATCATCTTCCTTCTCTGAAGTGTTTCACACCCCCGATGGAGTTTCTGGGCAGAGAAAGAATGACAGACCAAGGACCTGGTCACAGTTCTGCTCAGTAGCCAGACCACCAGCATATTAGCTATTTAGTGTCTCTCTAAAAAAAAAAAAATCTGAAGCTTGAGTACATTCTGATGTGGAAGTGTTCCTGGAATGCCAAACTTCCTACGTTTTGCAAGTGCTAGAAAGCATGCAAACCAAACCACAAGTAGGCTAAAGCTACAGGGAGTTTGCACCCAAGCGTAGCATGAAGTACATATGCTACACTTCACAGCATGGGTATGGATTGAAATAAAAAGATCCCTTATAGTAACATCCACCAGCGCACAAAACTGGCTCCTGGTGAAAGCACCATTACCTCGTGCTTGGCAGGAAAAAAAGAACACTATTGAACACGAAATTAAACCAATTCTGACCCAAAGCCACACATTAGGAGCTGAATCATCACACTCTGCATTTCAGTTTTAGGATTGCTGTGTCCCTGCAGCTCCGCAGCTCACTGATCGACCCCGCTACCTTCACCTCCATCCCAGAGGCTACTCCGCAGCAGCAAGGACCCCAAAATCAGACCTGCAGGAGAACATCTGCACAGCAGCTGGCACCAGCTTGCTGAGCTAGTTTCCCCTCATGATATACTTAAATACTTCAATTCAAACATCTGCCTAAATCATTCCTTTCATAATTAAGACTAAGGTAAAGCAAAGGAGAGAAAGATACTCTTTACACACACGTGAATGTGTTTGTCCAGCTTTCTGGGGCTCGATGTTTCACACCGCAGCAGCGGGCGTAAGTGGGAGGGAATGACCACACATAAAAAGCCTTTTGTGCAATGAACATTTGGAATTGTGGATGGCTAGAGCCAGAACTGTTTGTTTTTACGCCACTGACATTTAAAAGTTCTGCAAACCCATGCAGAAATACGTATCTACCGCCCAAGGAGTATCAGAAACAAATGAAAGCTCCTGCCTTTTACCAAGAAAGCACACAAATTATGACATGCTATCGTGCACCAAAACCCTGAGACCATCCCTCCCTCCCAAGAGCAAGCAACCAACTCCATGCAGGTTCATCATGCTACTGAAATCAAAGCAAGGATTCAAATGGCTCCTATTCACTTTCCATTCTTCTTATCCAACCATCAGTTCTTTTCCCTACTGCAGTAACACTTACCTTGTTGCCCTGCCTGAATATTTCTTATCTCTGAAATACTGCAAATAAAGGCTGTATGCAGATATAAGGCACACATCCAATATTACTTAAATTAATGCCCTTGTTTGTACACATTAAGCTGACAGACACCCCTTGGGGAAAACAATCTCCCACACGTGACCCCAGAAAGGCAGCAGTTTGCATCCCTATCAGTAAGGGACACAGCATACCCGTGCAGAATTCTTTGTTAGCATTCTGGGGTACGACAATCCTTCTGTAGACTATGGGCTCCGATTCTAAGATGTTCTCGTCGTGCCGATAGCGAGCCTGTTTCTCATTTGGGGTCCCCCGGGAACGAGTGCCACTCCTCCTCTCATAAGTTTCAATCTCTTCAAACACAGCTGCTTTGTCAAAAAGGGCCAGGTTCCCTTCAAAATCAAAATCTGTGTCTGGGATTTCATCAATGTCGTCCCCAAAGCACTCATCATCTTTGCTCTTCATCTGCCCGTTTTTCAGGCCACTCTTCTTTGGAGTCACTTGGTTCGGATGACGGCTACTGGATGACCCTAAAGAAAAACAAAAGCAAGTTGAAAACATATCATAAAGGGAAAAAGACACGTCTACTCATACATCTTCCCAGCAAACTTTGTGAGAGAGGAGCTCATGCTTGCAGCCCAGCAACTCAAGGGATACTTGCTTCCCAAAGGAGATGTAAGCCTCACCTGTGGCACGACTCATGCTAAGAGAAGCTAACAGAGAATAGAAAAGAGCATCAGGAAGTGAGGCTTTGTGGGACTTTCCACTGGCAAGGTTAGAAAAACAAGCTTGACCCCAGTACCAAAATGAGTGTTTCTTCACATTTTATTTAGTTCAAGATAGTGTCAGACTGGTGATAAGATAGATAAGATAGATAAGCTAGAGGTGATCTAGGACAGTTCTCCTGTACTGAGCTCATGTTCATGCAGGCACGTCGCCCAAGACTTTCTTTGGAATTTCCCTAACTTTCAGAGACTAATGTAGGGTTTTCTTTTATAACAGACTGGCCACACACTAATCATCATTAAGGAGAACTTAAACCCCTGAATATAAAGCATTTAATTTTCCTTGCGCTTGCTATCAATAGGTACACATTGCCATATCGATATAAAGGCCGGTCCCTTATTCCTATTGCATTATTCTACTTAATCATTATTCATCACCTTGCATGTTTAAGTACACTTCCTCCCGGTCACAAGTAATTTTGAAAGCCACATTTCTCTGCAGTGAGACTGAAGAAAGTCTCCTCATTCCCAGCTTATGGCTGGGGATCAAGGACCAGTACAAAACCATATGCAATTATGAGGTCAATATATCCCTCTACTTGCTTATTTCTCACATTATTATTATTATTATTATTATTCAGGTCACACATACCAACTCGGGTCCAGGCAACTGTTTGTTACACTCATTGCTGGAATTGGCCTGAAAGATGTTCTAGTAGTTGCGAATTTAACAATTACAGGTATTGCCTGCAGTGTCCAAAAGCTGGAGTAAGAGTTATCACACCAAAACTGCTCACTCTACTAAAATATTTCTCATAGTTTAAGACAACAACCTTTGAGTAATTCATACAAATGGGTTTGACAGAATCAATTTGATAACACAGAAAGTAATTAACATCAAATTACCACTGCGATGTGTGCTCTTTATATACCTCTTACATAAATGACAAAGCAGCATTTTTTTGTCTTTACACATTATTGCCAATCAGTGAGAGAAGACAGGAAGAATTTCAACTCATCTAAGGATCTTTACAGAACATCCCCAAAGATGTGCAATAGGCACAGCCTTTTTGGCCTCCCATAAAGTTACTTGTCACCTTCATAAGCGCAGACAAGTCTACTTAAATTGCAGCTGACAACTCCATAACACTCTCAGGATTACCTGAAGCCTTTAATAGCAAACACTGGAAGAACAGACCAGAGCAGAGCGTGCTTTCCTGGAAAAAAACTTTTCCCGGAGTTCTCCGAGCTTACCAAGGACTTGGTAAACTCTGACAGATTCGTTTTGCAGCATGACACTGAGTTCATCTAACACCACGATGAAAGATGACTTGCTAAGGATATGTACTTTTATTCTCAGTTAGGAATGCATTGTCTCAGCAAGGATTTCCCCTTACTTTAGGCAGCGTGTCACCTGTTCTAGAGAACCGTTCAAGTGACTAACCTGAAAGCTTTCCCACACCAAACAGCAAAGAAGTTCTTTGAAATGCCCAGCAGCTCCTTCTTTGGTGTCTGAAGTACTTGAGCTAAACAAAACGGGACCTGAACACCCTAAAGCACTCCCTCTCAAAGCAGCTGCAGCTCCAGTCCCTAAATTACAACATAATCCACAACTCCAGCAACAGCAAAAAAGCACACAAGAAGTCAGAGTGCAGTACTTCCCACCTTGAAAAGCAGGAGATAAGACCCCAAATCTTCAAGGCTTTGTGGAATCATCAAGGAAAACCACCCTCATCCCCACCCCTCAGTGATAATCTTCCTAATGTGAGTAATCTGTTGTTCTGGTGAGGTTTTCGGTTTAAACATGAGCTTGAGTGCTCTAGTTATACCAGTTTAAAAACAGTTTTTCCCCAACCACCCCTTGCTGGCACTGAAAGGACTGAACAATCAACTTTCCCCAGCTTTAGCCACCTGGCCTAATGAAAGATTTTCCCTTTCACATAGCACTGCTATGTTAAATAAAGTATCTTAAAGGGCACCTACAAAGTTAGACAGCTAACAGCATACGTCTCTTGCAGCAGCACAGCTACCCTGCCGACTGGATTTACTCTCACCTCACTGCAACATGAAAATCCACTTACCACAGGACAAAGCCACTCACCTCTTCAAAACAGCGCTGTCCATACAACAGCCAGCACGAAATATTTATTCTGCACGTACCGGAGCAACCGCAACTAACCGTACGGAGGTGTGTGGTCAGCATCACCACACTTGGGGAGCACTCTATTTTCAGAGTCTCTATTTATGATAGTTCGAAACTACTACTAACTACAGCGGGTCACTCATTTTCAGAACAGTGATTTTCAAGCTGCTGGAGACATCACGGAGGTTTTTTTTCCAACAACTGGGCAAGAAAAGACGACTGTAATACACCTTCTGCCAGAAGCCACTGAAGGACAAACGGCAGAATTCAAGAATTGCTGGTGACAAGTCTTCCTGGCAAGGTGAATTCCAGTATACATCTATACTGACCAGTCAATTACATGCATAGTTTCCACAGAAAGGGAAAGCTTTTTACTAACACACAACTTCCAAACCTGACATGTAAACTACTGCAAAGCTGTACACAGTTCGGTATGGAGCTGGCAACTGTCACTACCAACAAGGGAATCTCATCCAACATTGCTGCTATTAGCCACGCAAGAAATGAAAACCCAGACCAACACAACAGGCCGAGTCCTCCAAACACTCACAAGCTCCAGGTCAAAGCGCTGAGTTCAGCTGAATAAGCTGGAGCCTACAATGAACACAAAGGTGAAACAAGACCCACTTCTTGTGTCAGTTTCTAGTGTTATGGCAACTCAGTTCGTTCCCATTACCCAAGAAGAGTTTTCACACTCATTGCCAGATTCTTCTGCAAACAGCTCCACGCTACCCTCAGCTGACCTGGAAAGCAAAACGTGGGGATAGATGCACTGCCGCACAATGGATCCAGGGAGAGAGCAGCTGATGTGAGCAGTGTGGAAATGCTGATGGAATAAAATGCTGCTCTAGGAAAGCTGCAGGAACAATGGCTGGAAAGCTCCCTGGGCTCCCCTGCAGACACAATGAATGGGAGCCAAGACTGTACCTCATCAAAACGAGACGTGCCAGCATTGTGGTGGGCAGCTGTCTAACCCTAGCCAACGGGTGCAACTCTGCGATACTGCTGACCCACACGACAGGCTGTTTTTCACGACTGCATTACAAGCCTGCAACACAAGTTGCGCAGAACATGGCTGAGGCCTCCTACGAACTCGGAGCAAAGTTCCATGGTTTTCCTCTTCAAGCATTGCCATCCAGACAGGCAAGAAGACTGGCAGCTGATGCTGTTGAGGGAAAAAGAGGAGAAACGCCAAGGAAGAGGGCAGAGGGAGGGAAAGTGCAGAAGAATCTGAAATAAGGCTAACAGGAGAAGTGTCTACTGCCTTCCAGGGCACTAGTGTGACGCATCAGACCAAGCCATTGTCCAACAGCCACTATTCACAGCTGAGCTTGCTTCCATAGCCTGATCCAGTCCTCTGTCAAGCAGCTACATAAATTCAGACTTGTAGTCCAGCTCCTTTCAAAGCACAACTTCCAGCGCCTCTGCCCCGTGTGTGTATGCGCGAAGCTTATTAAGGAGAACAGCACATGGCTCCACGTCAAGTTGGCAGCTTGACGCCGCACAGAAAAGCGCCTCCCTCAAATGATAAACAATACTTCCTGGGCTTTTCTTGTTTCTTAGGAAAAAGCCTTTCATGTACAGCACACAAGCAAACGTAAAGTCTCAGGCGAGCTAGCTGCCTTCCTGCAAGATCCCTGTGGGAGCTTTTGCCGCCAGCCCTGGCAAGAACAAACCCGGTGGCAGCACTGATATTTGTTGTTTATTGATTCCTGCCACACAAGTACTCAGAAAAGGGAACTTTGTCCCTGACTTAGCACGCTAAAGGGCATCGAGAGGTCAGCTTTCAGCTGTACTAAACCCTACGTGACTTCAGTTCTAGATGACATCTCAGCCCATTCCTCCCTGGATGTCTGCACCCACCACCTCCATAGAGCCAGGACCTCTCCTGTCCCCCTCCCCAAGATTCACACATCATTTACCCTGCTTTCCAAAGACACACATTTTAGATAGAGTTCACTTTTCTATCTCATTTATCCTAAAATGAATCCAGGTTAACAATAATCTACATCTAGCACCTTGTTCAACTTGTTTCAAAGTCTGTAAAAGAAAATCCAACCTGCTGTTGTGCTTATGTCAAATTGGCAGAAGCTATTTGCGGGCTGAAGTGGTTTGAAGTACTCACTGCTCACCCCAGACCTAGCAGATGCTGGCAAAACAGCGTTAAGTAAGGTAATCCTCCTACACACCCCATCCAGCCAGAAAAAAAGCAAAGCAAAGGTCATTTGAGACATTTAGGTAGCTGACGTTGACGTTTGAAAAAATTTTTCTAAAAACAACCAAAGTAACATACTCGAACAACTAACTGGAACTTAGGAAGAGTTAGGGAACTTAAAAATAAAAATTCACCTTCAAGGAGCCAGTTTTCTTCCTACAGAAAGCACTGTGCAGCGTTTAGGTCTGGGTAGAAGTAAAACACTCCAAACCAGACAAGCCTGAAGATGGTTACGTGACCAAGGAGTGCGTGCCTCCCCCTCCGCATCGTTCTGGCCTTCCTCCTCCCATCCACCCTGCTCAGAAACCGTGTGCGTAAAGAAGGGAATACAAAGAGAGTTACAACCCTTTCAGAAAGCAATACAGCTGTGGAGGGGGAGGAAGACTTCCAGGGGACCAGGAATTCCTCCACAAAAATACAGCCTTTGATCTCCCTGTTCAACTGGCCTTGCCCACCTTAGTTTTGTTTCTTTTCTAAACACAAAAGCAAGGGGAAAAAATGAAGTCATGGAAATACGCTGGATACATACTGATGCTTCAACAATTAAGTCATGGAAATACACTGGATACATACTGATGCTTCGATAATTGCACGATGAATATCTGCAACGGAGCGTAGCCCAGGGGGCTTTGAGAAAAAAAACAACCAACAACATACCCAGTTTTGGCGCAGCATGAGAGCTGGCTGAAGATTTTATGAACAGAAATAAAAATAACGGATGCTTGACTGAGATGCACTGATTGTATCTTTATGCCCTTCTCATTAATTTGTATTTTCAACAACATCTGCAATTACTTGTAGGGTGATGTTGCAATAGGTTATGGTTATACAGGCTTTAAATAGAAAAGCTTTATAACACTGCAACTTGTTTCCAGTTCCTTTTAGAGGAAAAAGGAAGGCTGGCAATTGGGCAATTTTCAAGTAGGAAAGATGGCAGGAATGAGGAAATCCTTGTAACCAGCATTATTCAGCTCTACATTTTACAACGGTTGATGCTGGTGAAGCAGAATAATACACAAGGTGGGACAGGGAAGATCTCCACTAACTGAATTTCAGCATTCACGTAGAGAAATTGTTAAAGAACTATTTGCTTTTTATGGACGTAGGCATCAGCCACACTCCTCTCAGAAGTGCTGCAGTAAAGAAAACACCAGTATGTTGCTCTTTGCATACCCAAACTGGGCTGTTCATTGGGAGACTGAAAGAGCTGGGCAAAAAGATGAACACAACAGAACTGCATGGCATAGTTGTAGTGCAACTGATAAAATCATCTCCTCCTATTCATACTCCAGCCTCACCATACAATTTGTCTTTGCAGCTATCTACAGCCTCAGTCCCTCCAGTTCCACCATAGCCAGTGCAACACAACATATTCCTAAGGGTTCTCCAACATCCCCCGTGCCTTCCCAAACATCAGTCCCCATGTAGCTGAAGGCTGTAAGAAGAGGCAGCTGCTTCCTGCAGCGTCTTTGCTGCTCCTCTCCACCCTGTACTCATGCACATCTTTTCCCTGTTGTATCCCAAATTCCTGTAGTGTCCACCCCTACTATGCCCCAGCTCATGCCAGCGGTGACAGAAAAAAGGGGTATGAGATCATATAAGGATGTTGGGGGGAGGAGGGGGAGAACATGGAGAGCATTCTTCTACTTAAATGTTGTCTTATGTGTCCTAAAACAAAGTCAAGTAACACACCCTGAAAATAAAGGCTGGTATTTTCAGCAACGGGAACATGAATTTGGAGTTTGCATCCAAATCCATTTTGAAAGTACGTAACAATGCCTCACTTGCTCAGGACAAGCAATAGGAGAGCTTTTGTGACCATTCCTTTTTAGTCTTTCTGCTGCAGACTCTTCTGGGTGTCTCTTATGAGCATTGTAGAATAATGTCCTTTAATGGGCTTCAAGGGAAAAAAACTCAACCTAAATTCAAATCAGGTTTGGCATGGGAAGCTTGTCCAATACCCACAACACAACCAACATCCCAGCAAAAATGGTCCTGAACCAAATAAAGCCAAGCACGTAGACCCTTTCTTTCCCACACGATTCTGAGGGTCACTCCGGACGGGCTGACTTCTGAAACAGCAAGTACCTGAGCGCAAGGCACCCAGGTACCACCAGCCTTGTGGGCAAGCGACATCATCAATGGTGCTGCAGCCTTCCCAACCTGTTAACTAGGTTGGCTACAGGACTGCACTACAAAAACGACATGCTCAAGCACTGCCTAAGGCCCCTGCATGGAATACCCTGTGGAAGGCACAGAAACCAGTGCTACGATAAACAGGGATCTGGCCTCCGCTAGAACCAGATGCTTTCTGCTGTTTCTCCACATCAGTTCAGGAGCAAGCACAAAAAGCACACACAAGATCCCAACCGTAATCTACTCTCCAATTATTCATCTGAACAGCACCAACTTCTCTGCATTAACTTTTCCAGGCTGTGTCTGGGAAGCAAAGATATTTCACTGGGAAACGAAGGAAAAGTAGAGCAAATTTGCCTCCAGAGAACACTAGCAATTGTTTTAAAGTCTCCCCACAGATGAAAAGGAGCAAGAACTTATCGTCTGCATCAGCATGATGGCAATGGAGACATCGGTGAAGCAACCCTGTGTCAAACATACCCTGAACACATTTGTGTGAGGTAGTCAGAAACCTAGAGAAACAGAATGTAATCTTCTTAAAACAGAGGAGGAAAAAAACCAAACAAACAAGCTACACACACCCAAAAAAACCCACAAAACCAAACAAACTAATACAGAAGTGGCAGACCAGGTCAAACAAAGCGCTTCATCTGAAATTCTTACCCAATAAAACCATTTTCTCTCTCTGTAAGGGCATTTTGTGGAAGTATACACATACATCTTTATAAGCCCAGTCCTGCAAGCTTTAATGAATCTGTATAAACATTCATACCAAATGACAGATGAGACTGCATCACCACCTAATAATAAAAAAGATTCAAAGACAAATGCCAGACATTTGGAAGATATATACTTATAATACTCTGAGGCACAGTTTGCGAAGCCTCTCTCATCACCACTTCACTTCTCCAGACCCTCAGGTGGCAGTACAAGTATAAAAGCAAACAAACAAAAGTTCCCAGCACCATTTGAAATGTTCTCGCTGAAGAAGGGTGGACACAGGAGTGGTTAACCAGGTCGGCGAAAGGAAAGCTGCAGGACGCCACGTATACTCACAGGAATTGTGTCTACGACGGAAGCCTTTGGATTGAGTCAATGTTTCCACATGTCGATCCATGTAGCTCTTGGAGCACTGCTGCTGTGGAGAGATGATAATATCCTGATTCTTCAAGTCCGTTCTCCGTGGGATATTCTGTGGGGCACTGCTGGAGATGGGCTTCTTCAACACTTTCCCAGTGCCATTCTGACTGGGACCTACTTGGCACCCAACACCAGGGACGCCCATTTCTGTCTGCTGCAGATCCCCACATTGTCTGCTGTCCCCTGGACCTGGGATCTCCAGAATTTTCAGCTCAGTAATGTCACCTGCCCTAAAAGCAGGAAAAGAAAACCAGACATTCAGGAATTTAGCATTCGAGGTACCTTTGCAAAAAACAATCCCTAAAAAGAAAAATGTGCAACACTGTACAGTGGGGTTTTTTTCTGATGCCATTATCAATAGAAACAAGAGGGGGGAAAAAAAAAAGGATTTTAATACTCAAACACAGAGGATATTTCCACAGACATCAAAATATTAAACTGAAATGGCATGAATCTTCAAAGTAACAATGTGACTGTTTCTATACTGCACCTGGATTTTGTTTGAAAGGTTCTGTTTGAGCTGAAACAGGGATCAGTCAATCAGAAAATGGAAGTAGCTGGCATAGACTTTTGTAGGGATCTGCATTAATTTAACAGTTTCTAGTTAGTATAATTAATCTCAGCCTTGAGGCTACTATTACTTTTAATCCGTTTCTACAGAAAGCTACCCTCAGATCAGTGCAATTCATGCTCAGACAAGGATGGTCCTTCCTGTTTCCTCAGAAAAAGGATAAAGAAAGTTAATGTAGCACTGGGCACAAGCCAAAATGAAACAAAGAAGTAGTTACAAGGACCTCCATTCGCACCGATTGCAATAAATAAATCGGAAGTTAGGGCCTTCTAAACTTAATAAGAATTTGTCCAACTGGGATATAAAAGTGGCGAGAGCTTGCTACAGATTTCCACACATCTGGAAGAATATGGTCATCATCTTTCCCCACTCTCTCTCTTAAAAAAATCCAGGAAAAACAAAATTATATGTATTGACGTTAGGGAATCAACCTTATCTAAAAATCAGTGACTCAAGAGCCTTAACAACTGTAATATGCCAGAAAACAAAAAAATGCCCAGTGATGATTGACTCTAAGTATTCTAAGCACAGTGTTACCAGGAGCTGGAGGGAAAGAACTCCTGAGACCTTCTTGGTTCAAAACTCCCTCCTGTCTACACAGAGGGAAGAACATGGAGAGACACAGAGGGGATGGAGTGGGATTTAATAACTGCACTTAATGGTATTGAGGCAATAATTTTAATTGACCTATCACTCTGCTTTCTTTTCTGTCACACTTTAATTACACATAGTACACATGCTGAGGGAAAAGCTTTAAGAAAGCACGCCAGCCCTCCCAACTACCTGAAAACTAAACAACAGAAGGTAGACACACGATAAATAGATACACACACAGAGCCTCACCCACAAATAATCTCCAAGTGTGAGCTGCACCACTTCTAGCACTGGGATCACAGAGCCAAAAAATAATTTCCTGCACACAAACTAACAGAAACACAAGAGGCACTTCTCTTCCAAAAGATGCTCTGTAGCAGTAGGGAGATTTAAGTTCAGCAGCCCATTTCTGAGGAAAAACAAAACAGTACCTCCAACCACCAAAGACCTTGCCTGGAAAAGGGCAGGAGGGAAAAAGACAGACACTAACCTGAAGGTGACTTCTGGCACGAGGCACTTGACCCCATTATGGAAGGGCCGTGTCAAGGAAATGGTCTGGCTGACCTGATCCACAGCAGACACTCGTCCTTGGTAGACTCCCAAGCTTTCTCCACAATTAATTGACACAATGCTCCCAAGCCAGTCCGTAGCCATATTTCCGGCACACAACTGCTGTAAAGAGACACAGGCCTGGCTGTAACAAGATGCAGAAACCAACAACCCAAATCAGCATCAACCGCATCCCCCAGCCCAGAACCCTGGCTCTGGCTTTGTCAGCTTCTCTCTTCTTTGTGGAGTGGAAATAGCATCCATACAGACACCAGGATCGCAGTGAGTGTGTAAATCCCTGCACAGGGCTTTGCCTACACAATTGCTTGTAATGCAGACCACCGTTTGCATCATTCAAGAAATACTTCTGTGACCGAATTCAAGACTAACAGCTTCCAACAGCAATATTTAGTATTTAGTTCTGTCTGCAGGCATTCCCCCTGTAATTTCAAACGGGGAATTTATCTTCACTTCCCTTTTTATAATTTTGGCATACTGGGGCAGAACAGCTTTTGTGAATACTCAGCAGTGAGAAGACTGATCTCTCTCTGCACAAACAAAATGAAAACTAACACCTTTGGGAGAACAGACTGATACAGAGGTGGGGGGAAAAACAACACTAGAGTCCAGGACAAAAGTCTTCATGCTCTCTAGAGCCAGAAGAATTAGTATTACTGCCATAACTAGGTACATGAAAAACAAAAAGCTGCACTCCTTTCCAGCACTCAGTTCTACCAGAATACAAGGGGGGAAACGCACTTTGTTTAGTTAAGATGTTCAGTCCCATGTAATTCTCTGTTTTGACACTTGTACTAAACTTGTGCTTAGCTGCTTCAAAGTGTGCTGATACATCTTCTGATCTGAGACTTCTTTTGCCAGACAAAGAACACAGGAAGATAACAGGCCCACTAACATGACAGTAGCACAAAGAGCTGACAAATCTCAAAGTAAAAACAACTACTGTATATATTTGCCTTTCCTGCTGTAATCAACAGTAAGAGGGAGAAGGCTTGATATATACTGTAACACAAAGGCAGAAAGCATAGGAGATAACCCAGGAAGATTAACATCAATATATAAACCACGTTTCTGTGAGAGTCATTTTACTTCTCTTCAAACTCTTCCTGTCCTGACCTTCTTGGAAAAAGATGCAAGGAAAAAAATTCCTGGAAATAACTAGGACACATGCATGCTGCCAAAACTAACTCACTTCCCCAACTTTCAGGGCACTGAAAAAAGGGGATGCTTCAAAGGGAAGCAAATGCTAAATTTGGTCACTAAGCCATAAATTCTTCAGGAGCAGCCTCCTTTCTTTCCTGTTTCTGTGTATTTATATTAACCGACAATAACAATGTCTGCATTCCAAGATGACAGCTGATAAAAAGCACTTCCAAAACACAGACAACACATCCCCGAGTATCTGCAGTGAAACTAAAATTTCACTCCCTTTCTTGCTTTTTGTATCTCTTTTTGAAAACAAGGGAAAAGAGTTCAGTACACATCACCATCTTACAAGGATCTTTTTCAAAAATAAGAGCCCCCTTTTAACAAGAAAAAACCCACACCTATGTTTGTGTGCAAATATAACTAAAGCAAGGGTCTTACTCTACCACATTGTGCGTAAATCATTTAGAAAAGGGAATGAACTACATGTGCAATGAATCTACTTCTTCACCTGTGAGATACACGAGCCCATTTGTTTACGTACACCTGGGAAGTCAAACCTCCCGTCTAATATTCTGCCTTATATTTCAGGTTTTTGTCATACAGCCCACAGATACATTCCCCCACATCTCTTATTTCAAGCATATATTATTGATATACCTCCAAGTCCAAGTCTTAAAAGACACTCAAGTCACAGAGCTTACTCAAGCATGCATGCAGTACTTAATAAAGAGAGTGATAACTCGGTATGAGATGAGTCGATAGATTTGCACACAGGGCACCGCTCCCTGAGCGGAAAGATGCCACGATGCACGTTCTCCCTCGCTGAAAGATGAGCAACCACGGAGGTGGCTTCACTCACAAGGAACGCAGCCACCAAGCCTAGCGGCTCTGTACCCGAGAAACAAGCTGGCATGGGATACATGCTCCCAGCAGGACCCGTCTCCCGGTGCTGGATCAGGGTGGGCTGCCTCCAGCCCGATGCCCACTGGAGAACATAGGGCCCCCCCCAGTTAAACACAAGGCCCCAAGAGCCCGCGTCTGCGTGGACCCCAGCAAGAGGCGGCCTGCTGAGGCTTGGAGACCAGGAGGGGAGGCGCTCAGCCCAGCCTCCGCAGGCCTTCCCCGCTGCCCCGGCCCCAGCCTCCCCAGGAC